CTTCTGGTAACTCACTCACAAAGGCTCACAATTTTCAATACTTATATCTGTCATAACTTGCGAAACTAGTCTGCGATTTTTCTCAAAATGATAACATATCTCATATAAAGTGAAGGAACTAACCAATGTAGTCGAAATCTGCCACGTCGTAATATTTATATCATATTTATTTAGGTCCGATACGAAATGGAAAATATTGACACATTTCTTCGAATCCTACTCTATAGTGAGTAGACAATTTAAATTATCGTAACAGAAGTCAAAATATATTTAAATAATCGAACATTGGCTGAAGGTATACATCTGTCGGCTAAACCGACTTTTTAACTCGTTTTTAGTTATACAACTCTTTGTGGGTGAGCTATCAGCATAACATTTTTCTGTATATTTAACGATTCCCGTCTGTGGGGCCCACTGTTGTTGTTGATGGTGCCCACAATATTAAAGATAAATTAGTGGAAAGGGACCCCTCTATTTGCATAAGAAAAAGTTGGAATATTGTTCTTCAAAAAAAATTAAATAAAACTAATTTTAATACAGTTTAAATATTCACATGGAGGAGGTTTACAAAATCCGCCAAACGTACCGTTGTTTTATCTGTAATACATAGGTTTATAAATTGTAATGGACTAAGGGACTAAGGGAATGATAATGGATGGATAAATGCTATGAAGAGCAATATTTTGTAAGATAGATTCTTCACTTTAGCACAGAGTTCAAAACCGAACACTTTATGGTCAGGTTTTACAAAGTGATGTCATGGGAATCTTTTTAAAATCATATTGTAATTGATAAATCGTATTCCGCTTAACAAGAAATTTGCAACTTTGTTGGCTTATTTTGATTTTTGTCACTCCACCACACACCAGAATATATTTTTTAAGACTAGGGCAAACCTCTTCACTTACGTTGTTATGTTTACACTTCGTTTTCAATAAAAGTTCGTCCTTAAAATCTAATTACACACACTCATAAGATGTACGGACTAATGCATTGCAATAAATTTCAAAACTTTTCTTAAAATACAGTCTCCTTTTTTTTTCTTTTCACGCACTTATTTACTTTGGCAAAATCACTGAACTTAATTGGATAACTTTCCTTTTAAAGTTCCAATTTCTTTGCCATATTCTTTTCTTTAAATTATGACAAGAGTGTTTTCCCTTCATTTTATGTTCTCGCTTGCTTTAAAGGAAAGAAAAATTCCATCTCATTGAAGATGACTGCTTCCGAGCAGGGACAGTGACATGTTTCTGACATTGATGTCTACCGCAAATGTCTGGTTATATTTTACAGTCAAATAATGGTCCTTAAAAGGCGCAAACCGACAAAGTAGCTAGAGGGGTGAAACAGTATCGAAAAAAATGACAAGGAATCTCTGGGAGGGGTAAGGGAAAAGATGACATTAAGTGGTTTTTACAGCACAAATGTTGGCTGCTTCTTTAAGGATATATCATCAGCGATATTATACTTTATATGAAACAAGGACAATGACAACAACAACATAGCGACAAACTTTATGGAGGGGAAATTGAAAACAGCAGAAGAATTCAACACGAAAATATGCTATAAAATTTGTATGAAGCATGGGTGTATGTACTACATATAGTGGGGTTACATACTCATTGTACGAGTATGTGTCTAAAGTTTATTTTAACGATAGGCATGTCTTTAAGAAAACTTTGCAATTTATGTAATTGCCCCTCGAAATGCGTGTCAAGTAAATTGCAGGAGGAAATTTTAACTCTAAGGGTAAAACAAGAAATCTCATTAGATGCAAATAAAAATCGATTTTTCTGCATATATAGAGAAGAGTTTGGGTGGAATATTGGTACTAGTAAAAATCTAATATTTAAGGTATTTTCTCGACACAATTAAAGAATTTTTTCAGGCAGGGAATGCTTTAAAGTTCTTCTATAGGCAAGATGTCTTTTCAAGGTCTTCTATACTCAGAGACCATCTAAACATTTTATATGTACAAAAGATGAATGCGTTTTTCTATAATCAAAAGTTCTTCTATATGCAAGAGTTCAAACACAAGACCTTTAAAGCTTCTCTATTGACATCAAAAGCGACTTGAGTTGATAGAATAACTCTCTAAAGTTCAACTTCCATGCCCACAAAACTATTGAACGGTCCTTAATGAAGGGAAATCCTGTTAAATCACTCCAGTCAGTCAATCAGTCCTTTCGATAGACTTAGACAAACCATTTTTCTAGATTGAGAAGCCCTTTCAAGAGTCCTCTATACACAAAAGATCCTTTGGAGGTTTCCTAAAGACAGAAGATCCTTTGAAGGTATTGCATATACACAAAAAAAACTTATGTGTTCAGAGAAGGTCCTTCAGTAGTCTATTATACACGGAGGACTTTTCGTAAGTCCTTTATAGACAATATCGTTCAAGAGCCATCTATACAAGGAAGAACTTTTAAAAGTTCTCTATACATTAAACAGGCGTTTCAAACGTAGAAACGACCCTTAAAATGACTTCTGTAGAGAAAATACAAAGACATCTCAAAGGTCTTCTATACAGGGTGAAACAAAAAAAAACTGCAACAAAGTCAGACGCCATAATGCTTTTTTTTAATTTTATTGAATGAAAGCAACAAATTTCGGAAATAGCAACAACGAATTGGTCACCTTTGGCACGAATTGTGGCCTTCAAACGGCCAATGAAACACCCAATGTCACACCCAGCCCAAATGTTGCTCTGCGGTATTTTGGCCCATTCCCGGCGAAGCGCTTGCTTGAGATGATCGACACTTTGGTATTTTTTAGTGCCAACCTTACTTTCCAAAATACTCCAGACACAATAGTCAAAAAGATTGGTATCCGGAGATTTTGGTTGCCATTGTGCGCTGGAAATGAAGCGACGTACCTCATTTTGTAACCATTTTTGGGTGGCTGAGTGCGATGGTGCTGAATCCCGTTGGAATGACGAAGGTCTGCGGCCAAAATGTTTGCGTGCCCAATCCAGAATATTTCCCGATACTATTGGGCATTTATTCTGATGCCACGGTCTATTAATACGAGCGGAGAGCGACCATCGCCTGTTATGGCAGCTCGAACCATCACCATGGCTGGCACTTGAGTTCTGGTGGCCAACCGAAGGTGCAAATTTTCAACTGACCTCTTTGGCAATTAAACACGATCTTTTTGATTGTTTACAAATTGCTGGACAACGAATGTTTTCTCATCGCAGAAAACAAAATTTTGCAGTTCACCACTTTCGTTCAAGCGATGCAACTCTTAAGCTCTTTTGGGTCTACTTTTTTTCTATTGCGGTGTAAGTTCTTGCACATTTTGGAATTTCAATGGCTTTTCTCCGAGCTCATTTTTTAATATTTGCGAATGAGATATTGCGATATGTTCAGCTTACGAGCCATTTTTCGGCCACTGCGACGTGGGTTTCGATCAAATCGCTACTTTAATTTTCGAACCATTTCTGCTGATGTTGCTAATTTCTTACGTCAACTTCCTTGACGTTGGGCTACGCTACCAGTATCACGGTAACGAGCGATGTTACGAGACACAAAATATTTATTCACATTTTAATGCTGGAGTGCTCTAACGATAGCCACTTGTGTTTCCAGTCAAATATAAAGAAATCACACTATCACTCTTGAATTCCATCACGAATAACTTTTTTTCTGGAAAGTTCTCACCAATATGCTTTTGTACGCTTGTAAACAAAATAATTAGCTGTCACTGGAATAATTTTAACAGCTGTCGGACGAGTGACAGCAGTCTTAAATTGGTTGCAGTTTCTATAGGAAGGGTTTATGTTCTTTAGAAACCTTTATCCGTGATTAGAACTAATTTTCTTGACTTTCAAAATACTTCAAATTTGAAGGTTGTGTTGGACCAATAATGAACATTTTTTTCCAGAGAGAGAGATTCTATCCATGTGACACCCACATGTAAATTTACATGTCATTACATTTGCTATTGCTTCCGAGAAACTCTAGATGCTGAAAAACAGGAGATATCGTTATATAGAGACTATGTCCCGTTTGATAGCAATCACCAAACCTTTTTGACAAGCGAAATGACGGATTTGATAGAGAATATACAATTTGTGTAAGAACTTGTTATGAATTTCTCTCCGTGTATTCAAAATATTTGTGCCTGAGGCAAAGATAATTGCCTCTCTGTTGTCAATGCCTGTCTATCTGTTAGATGTTACAAGTATCAATCAAATTTCACTTCAATCAAACACAATATTCCTTTCTTAATGAGTGTATCGGTAATATAATACGCATGAAATAGGAAATGTCGAGCACCATACCATCAACCCACAGATTTTGTTGTATGGAAAGAGCACCATCTACATATGTATGTATCCTGGAACAACAACATATGTATGTGAGTATTTTCCACTTAAATTCTTTTTGTATGTGGAAATTTTATAGCCTAAACAACCAACGGGAGTTGAACAAGGAAGGGAAAAACGTAAATTAAGAGGAAAACAAAATCCGCATGGGGTGCATGGTGCTCCTTAAATTTTCATGAAACTCAGAATATTATAGGAATCTACATAAAATTTAATGCCACATTATGTTTGATTATGCACCAAAATGTATTTGGCTATTATTTTTATTATTATGCGGCCAATTGACGATATAACCGCATTTCGGAGATTCCAAGATGACAGCCCAAGTATTGTTGCCGGTGATGGCATTTTAAAGAAAGGGCTTTGTTACCAAAATGCAAAAAATAAAGACATTTTCCTTGGTGGTTTTCCATCCATTCGTTAAAAGACAATGTGGTTTACGACTTCTGATCTCCTGCTTTTTATGGACTTCTGTTGAACAGACAGACTTCTAGGTGACGTGGAGGAAATTGTTCTCACTCACAACATTTGATTATACTGTCTTGTAATTGAATAGAAATAAGGGGTGTAATAAAATCGCAGGATAATATCTGGTGCAACAGTTAAAAAGATTTTATGAACATTGTATGCAAATAATTCATAGCTGTTTTTTTTCGTATTTTTCTTACAGGGTCAAATGATGTATATACCGGAATCAGATCGCATTTTATTTCAATGTTATCCAAGCGTAATGAATTTAGATGATTTGACAAAGTAAGTATAGACTTTTGGTTCTCTTTTTGAATTGTAAAATATATTCGTTGCAAGATTGTGTTTTATGTGTGAGAAGATAAATCTAGCAAGTTATTAGATTTATGGCCTATCGGTGTTACCACAAATAGCAATGCGGATTTTGCGGTTATCTTTGCTAATCCGACTTTCCAATTTTGAAAATAATATAATATGAAGTCGTTATTCGGTCTAAAATGAAAGTGATGTATACAAATTCGAATTTTTAATTTTTCCGCAAATACTAAACGAAGTTATTCGATACTATCCATTTTCAAACTTTACTGAGGAAATGCGACCCACAAATCCTTCTTCGAACTTGTTCTAATATTAGGATATAACAATTGTTCATTAAAATCTATATGTCCAGATAGATCGAAAGTACGAACCGTAGTTTTGTAGGCCATGCTAAAAACAAACTGATATCAAAGACAGCTTTTGGATCTTAAATAAAAATATATGTAGGTCATATATAAAAATTACTCTTGTATTCGGCAATGTTATAATAAAAAAATGTTTCAGCCGCAGTAGTTTCCAACGACTTATAAAAATCATATCAAAATTTTTGATTTTCAAACATGTTGTCTATTTCTACTATCTTCTCTAACATAGTCATTGGGAGCTTCTTTAAAGCTGCCTGGGAGATTCCCTTGAAAATACACACATACGCCGATGCTAAATACGTACAACCTGGTCTATATTAAGCGTGTCTCTTCTTTATAGACTGCTTAAGCTCAACCCATCCTTACGAATTCTCTCAGCTCACTCCCAATAGCACGCCTTCAAAGACCACGTTAAAAACTACCATCGTCGACTCACTTAGAAAAACTTTATTAAACTCACCTAAAAAACGTCTTTAGGCTTAAATGCTGCTTTAAACAAGTCTAGAAATACTCAAATCTACCCTAAATCTACTTTAAACTCATCTAGAAAGTTTTCCTTTCGCTCGTTGATGTTAAACTTATCTAGCAGGGCTCCCTTAAACTTGCCTAGAAAGAACTTTCAAAGACTCATTTAGAAACTCAATCCTTAATTCTTCTAGAAAGACTACCTTAAACCTCCCCCGCTTAAGCTATGAAGACTATTATAAACTCGTCTATACTCCCTTAAACTCGTCTATAGACACTTCCTTTAACTCGCCTATAGAAACTCCCTTAAACTCGTCTATACTCGTAGAGACCTCCTTTAACTCGCCTGTATAGACTCCCTTAAAATCGTCTATAGAGACTCTCCTAAACTTGTCTATAGAGACTAGAACATGCCGTTGAACTCGTATTTTGCCATTCGCCCATGTTCAGAAATACTGCCTAGAAATAACCCTTTAAACCCGTCTAGAATTACTGACTGTCTTGCTTTGATTCGAGAGACTGGCATCAGTCTCTCGATAGAGACCGCTAGCTAATCTATGGGCTAAGGGCTTCAGCTAGTTTATGAGACGGTCCCTGGGTCGTCCATAGAGACATCCTCTGGGTCTATAAAGACGTCCTTTTTTTGGTCTATAAAGGCGTCCTATTTTTAGTCTATAAAGACTAGAAAGACTACCTTAACAAGTCTAGAAGGACAGAGTGGCTTTGGCTCGTCTATACACACTTTTAGCTAAAGACTGCCTTTTGCCCGTTCATGGAGACTGTCTTCAGTTCGTCCATAAAGACTGCATACGGTTCGTCTACAGAGAAGGCCTCTGATCGTCTATAGAGATGGCGCTGATCGTCTATAGAGACGGCCTCTTTTTCGTCTATAGAGACACCCTCCAACTCGTCTATAAAAATGACACTCTTCAGCTTGGCTTCTTGATAGCCTTAAAAATGTCTATTACAATTATAATAGTCCTTGATAATTTTCTGTCGATTTTCCTTCTGATAGTCCCTGTTTATGGTGGACCCTGTAAAATGTATGTAAATCCTCTCTAACTCTACTTGTATTTGAGGCCTTCACAACTAACTAACTATAGAGCCAATTTCAAGCTCGTTTAAGCAAAAAACTTTCAGAACCTCTATAAAAAAAGGAACTCTTTCAGCTCGTTTATAATTTAGACTTTTTTCTTTTTTACTTTTTTATTTTCCGAGGGTCCGATTTTTTTTTTTTTTTTTTTTTTGTAAATCCTAGATTTTTTATCTAAAAATCCTTGAAAAAAATGATTTTACTTCTGGTAGACCTTGACGAAATTATATAAATACAAATAAATTGACGTTAAGTTCAGCCAGGCCGAACTTCTAATACCCTCCACCATTGGGTAAATCAAACATTTGTAAACAAAAGTATCTGAATTCAAACGTATTCCACTTTAATCTAAAAATTCCAGTGAAATCGGTAGGATATGGGGCCATACTAAAACAGGAGCCTATGTAGATAGTTTCATACTACAACAATTGTAATCTATTGCGAGTCTTAAATACCAAATTTTGCAAAATTCGTGAGTAAATGTGACTAGGATTATTAGGAGCAATATCGACAATGTTGTAGAACCCATTATGAAGTTCAAATACCAAATTTTACACAAATTTTTTAGAAAATGTGCCTTAAATATCAGAATATCGAATACCCAATGGAATCGTTAAATGTGCTCTAAAGGAAAACGTGGACCTAGATATTCAATGTTCTGCGACCAGACCTAGAACCCATTACAAGCTTCAAATACCAATATTTACACGAATCCTTTTGTAAGAAAATTGTAGGTTAAACCATAAAAAATGAATATCGAAAGGTACTGTAGTCATACGGGGTCTATTCGGAAACGTGCACCTACATGCACAATGTTAGTCCATCGGAGCTAGAACCCATTACGAACTACAAATTACTTTTTTAGACAGATCCGTTGAAAAATGTGGCAAAAATCATCAAAACACTGACCATCGGGTGGTACACCAAAAAGTGACCTCTATATATATATATGAACTATTTTCCGCCACCGGAGCTAGAACCCATTAATACCATTAAAATATAAATAAATCTGTGGAAAAATGTGGCAAAATCATATAAATTCAAACAGACGGACATCGTTAAATCGTCTTAGAATTTTAGGCTGATATACTTTTGGGGTCTACGATGAATATTTAGGGATGTTTCAAATGGAATGACAATGTTAATATTTTGAAGGTGGAGGGTAAGAAAATATTCTGCTCAGCTGGTCCATAGAACAGAAAAATCGCTTGATTTGTCTATAATAAGACTAAAAAGGACTCTGTAAAGTCCCCCTTGGCCCTCTTGCAAAAGACTCCATTTGGCTAAACTACATTTGATCTTATTTACAAAGATTTCAATCAGCTTGTCTATAAACATTTATGCAGCTCACACACACAAATTGACCGCAAAGACGATTTATGTTATCTGTAAAAAATATCCTTAGCTTGTCTAAGGAGAATCATCTCAGCTGCTTTATTCTCCCTATTGTGGAGAATCATATATAATAGGAAAAAACCCATAATCTATAAGAAAAAAACTTTAAAATTGAAAAATTGCAAACAAAAGCTGGCAATTTAACACATCCGTGAGCAAAATGTACACCACGATTGGCAATAATGACAGAATCGAAAAAAAATAAATCGCCTTAGAAATGAAAAAAAATGAAAACTTTCCAATAACTTTCATTTCTTCTTTTGAAGGTAATCATTTCGGGCTATCTAAGCTATCAAAGGTCGTCATTGCTGAAATTCAATTAAAAATAGACAATAGCCTAAACGGATGATTTGAGAGAAGGCAATTCATTATTACATTCGAATGTGGTGTATCGAATTCACTGCCACCAGGAACAATTTCAATGGAAACAATAGTTGACCCCGGGTGTTTGTTTAATAGTCAGCTCCTCGGGCACAGCATGCATTCGTATAAGTGTACATCTGACACTTCCGTTACCCCCCACTGCCCGGCTGACTGCAATCATTATTGTCAGCTATCAGTGTATGCTTCTCATTCTTCAACTAGACAGACAGATGGATAAATGTTTATTGTGTCGAAGCTGGGAGTTTTTTTTTTCCTTCTCTGGTGTTTCTCTGGCAATTTGTCATTTGTGAATAAAAGCTGTATTCCATAATCGTTTCTAGGATTTTATTTATTTCATTTTGTTCGTCCATTCCATACATTTGTTGTTGTCGGTTTTTATTTTTATTATTTTTAGAATGGACAGGCATATATAGTCTACAAAGTTTACGATAGAAGTTGATGAGGTTGTTGTTGTGGTTGTTGTTGTGGTTGTTGTTGTGGTTGTTATTGCAATTGTTGTAAATGTTACTCGACAAATTCAGTGACATATGTCATGGTATGTTACACACGTCCACTCACACACATACAAAATCAACCATGAATTTTCAATGTCATTGCCGGATAAAGGAATTAATTCAAAAGAAAGGCCTTTTCCATTGAAAGGTTAAACATTTTAAAGTTCATTGCTGAAGAACGATGGGTAAATAGAGATATTTACAGCTGAAAATGACTGTTTGGATACGTTCTCTATTAACTATATACAGCTTCTATAGAAACTTGGAAAAAGTTAATGAATAAAAAATTATTTTTTTTTGGAAACAGAAAAGAATGGTAGAAGTAAGCTACTAATGATATGCAAGGGCAGTGATTTTTTTTAAAACTTATATAAAGGGTGTTTTTCTAAGGGCTTGCAGAATTAAGTTTTAAGAATTGTTTTAAGAATTGTTTTATATATATATATATATATATATATATATATATATATATATATATATATATATATATATAAAAGGATTGATCTTGAAATTTGGAATGAAATCAACTGATGGAGTGCAGGATAGATTTACCAAAGGGTTTTTGGAAATTCGAACTTTATGGTTACAAAAATTTCTAAAATGGTACTGAACTTCTAAAATGCTACCATTTGGTATAATGTGAACGGATATAGTTCAATAATTGAAATTTAATTATGGTGTGAGAATCGAGTTTGGAAAGCTTGAAGCTTGTTTTGGAAGTGTGTACTAAGTTTGCGAACTGTACTAAATATGGAAGAGTTTGGTTTACGG